AGACACTATTTTAAAAACTTGCCCGGCAACTGCAGTGGGCGAAGTTGTTGAACTGTTGTTTCCAGAACCGGGTGTAGACATAGTGATAGTTTCCTGTGTGATTTCAACCGGACTGCACTAACACTATTGGGCACTTTCAACACATGGATCCCACCGCTGCCACCATGTTATGTCAATGGGTTCTTTTAATAAAAGTCCTTTTTGAGGGGAGAAAATAAACTGTATTCATCCGGAATCCATGCGTTTCACCGTCCCCCTGTCATAACCTAACATCCTCCCCTAGCATGGCAACCCGTAACTTCCATCACATTGTTGCCAAGTTAGTTACCAACAGAACACAAGGGAGAAGCTGCAGATGGTGCAAATACTAGGTAAAGGGTGCTCATGCACTAAATGCCTGTTCGAGTTTCGCCTTCTTTTAAATTTCCAATTAAAGTACACACACAATCATAAACACTAAAGCAGTTTAAGTGCAAAAAAATACGGATAGTGCATCAATTTGCAGAGAAATGTATTACAAATTTAGACTTTTTTAATTAAAGAAAACAAAATTTAGATTATTTTTTTAACCTTGGGTTAGTTCAGTTACAATTTTTTTGAACATACGCGCGATGGCTTACATTATGTATACATATAGTGTGTCAAGTGTATCCTGTCTATAGCTCTTCCTCGTTTTACCATCTATTTTAAACAGATAGAACGTCTTTCAATCACCAAGATTAATTGATTTTTTAGTCCTATTCAGATACAAGTTCTAGCAGACGTTCATGAACAACATACACAAGAGCAGTCACAAAAACATGCTATAATGCGAAAAGTATTAAGTAATGCTGAACGCCAAAAACGGTTTCGTGCTAAAAAAGGAGCATTTAATTTTTTTAAGTAATAGATCAACTCAAAGTCGCTTTCATCGACCACGAACTAGTGCTGAACGTCAAAGATTATACAAAGCAAAATAAGAAATTACCATAAAAAAATACAGAAACTCAAGAAGAAGAGTTTACACAAACCCAAGAAGAGCAATATGTACAACATCTCGTTAAAGAATGTTAAATGTTGCAAATAAAAAGATATTTTACATTTAAAAGGAAATTAAATTAAGTTTTGCCTATTCCTGATCCATTTATAAATTATTAGACTAACAAGAATATTAAAATTATAAAATAAAATAATTATTGCCATCATGCGTTACACAAGTTCAATATTTTATGGTTTCTATTAATTTATGAAGTTATCACTTCTGTCGGGCGTCCCGTGACGCACACCATTTTTTTAGGTGGAACGCAAGACAGGGAAGCACGAAGGTGTTAATGGCGTCGCATTTTTGCCAAGGTGCTAGGACAGAATTGTCAATTTCCTCTAGGTCCTGTCTCATTGCCTGGTGTACTTTATCTGCGGAGTTAGCTATGTGGTAGCCTGTAGGAACTCCGAGATGTTCTCTGTCATCTCTGTGGTTGTATCCAGTAGTTGCTGGAGATCGGATGGGCCTTCAGCTATTATAGCCATGTCCTCTGCGTATTGCAGTGAGTCTATTTTCTCGTCTGGTAACCGGTATCGATGGCTGCGATGGTGCGGAGAATTGGTTCGATTGCCAGTTTGAATATTATTGGTGATAATGGGCATCTCTATTTTACTCCAGATTTGATGTGGATGGCGGGCGTTGCGCCAGTATGGCTCCTGATCGATGTTGTGTTAAATTCGTATAGTTGTCGGATGACGTCTATCGAATTTTTGTGTAATCCGGGCCATTGCAATGCCTCGAATATGGTCGGGTGGGGGATGGGTAGGGTATTGACCCGAATGCGTTAGCAAAATCGAGCCAAGCCACGCAGCATTGTTTTCGGCCTCTTCTTGCATCGGCGATTATTGATTGGAGAACAAAGTTGTGCTCCGCGCATCCATTCATCTGTAAGAATCCCTTCTGGATTTCTCCCCGTGGTGGGAGCAACGTTGTTTCGTGCTGCCCATGTACCTAATCTTTTGGTCAGTACCGACGTGTGGATTTTGGAAATCGGGTTTGAGAGTGATATAGGTCGCCAATTTGCTACATCGTCACGTCTACCCTTTTTGTGGATTGGGATAGTCAGTGAGGTCGTCCATGCCTTTGGAGTGTATTTTAATCGCTTGGCATTGTTCAAGACTGTTGTAATAATGTGGGCTCCCATATCAAACTTTCTCCATGTTGCATATTTTACACCGTCGGGTCCGGGCGCCGTATTCCTGCATCGGATGATTCGGTTCCGCACCTCAGCAGGCGTAAATTCCGCCTCGAGTGGGTCACGGTCATCCATGTTGAGCACCGGCACCAGTTGTTGTGTTTGAGTCGGCATTGTTGGTGTTTGCTGTGTGGCGCTGCTAAAGACCTGCGTGAAATGAGCATGCAGGTCGTCGCTCGGTATCTGGCAGAACGGTGAGTCAGCATCGGTAATCTCCCAGAAAGCACGTTGGCGGTTTTTGCGATCTGGGCTGGGCATGGCATTGCAGTTTATTTCGTGTGCCTTGCACCCTTTCAGTGTCTCGAAGTTCACTTTGCAATGTCGACACCAGAATACTAGACGTGACAGGTGGTAGCGTATCAAATGCTTGCTGAGGTCCCGGTGCCTTTTGTAATGTTTTGGCAACGGGTCACAGATGCGGCAGTCGACCTCGTCTTTTATTGGGAGATCCAGGGGGTAACTAGTGAGCGTCTCCTCCATTCCCGCTGCTGGTATTCCGGAGAATTGATCGCGCAGTGTGCTTGCAGCATTCAAGGAGAAGCGGTTTGTAATGGCTCTCTGCCCATGGTTTGCGAGGGTCGAATGCATTTCTGCCATATGAGGACACGAGGCCTCTATATATGGCATCAATGCAAAGTACCTCGCTTCTGCGCTGTAAAACCCGCTCTGTCAGCCGCAGCAGTTTTTTGCGTGGCTAGGCGGTCCAGCGGTGCCGAGCCAAATCTGGTCGTGGGCCTTCGTGAATGGATAGTTGATGGAGGCTCCCTTTGGGTGGATGGCGCGGGTAATTAGCCGTAGGGCGGCCATCAAGTTTCCAGAGTCCTCCAGGCGGCATCGATGACTATTTCATCGTAAATGTTGTTGGGCCTAGATTCGGGGTCGGGACTGGTTGCTCGATCTATCTTCTGAGCTGGCTGTTTCTTGCTCACTTCTTTTCTAAGACTGTTGCCAACCTTATGTTTTTGCGGCCGGCCTCTGTTCGTTCACTGGGAGTTTGCGGCCTGGCTGCAGGCGGATTGTGGGTGTCGTTGCTTGTTTTTTTCTTTTCGGCGTTTTCGTTTCTTTTCGAGGGAGGGGCCCACCTTCTCTTTCTGCGGTTCCTATTGATATCGGTATTAGTGTTCATGCTACTGGCAAGGGTAGATTAAGGGAGGTGGTGTGTTGTCTGTATACGGTAAATTTGGTAATATAGCTTACGATTTGCTGGTTGTGACGAGCTGCACAGAACTGATGAGAGTTAGTATTCTGTGCAGCCTTTATTCAAAACCAGAAGGTTGTATTTGTTTTTTGAACGTGCGTAACTAGACAGATTTTTCACTGCTGTGTTGAGGAAATTCACGCACTTGGTTGTTCAACATTTTGTGTGCTCGTAGTACGTGAGGTCATCGGTTTCTGATGACTGATTAATTTTCACGTACTGTCTATGAAAGTAGACACGCTGCGTGACATTCAGCCGTGTGTTTGTGTAGGGTTGTGATGGGTATGTATTGCTGAATTGGCACGATTGTACCAAGATCAAGGTCAGGTGGATTGCGGTCAGTGATGATCAAGAATGTATTTTGTTTGGGTTGATGTTTGGTTTTAGAGAATGTAGGTTAAGCATTTATGCATAGCATAGCATTACTACTTATTGCGTGATCGCTTTCCGGACCCTGGTCTATGGTACACTCAGTACCTCAACCCGGACCTCCGAGATTTCACAAACGAGAGAACCTCGTATTACTATCGAACTTGATTTAATTTACTTTGAGTTGAAGTAGTTCCGATCGTTGCGGATGCGGACTGGATGTCAGGTTAGCTCGCGCGCTAGAGCAGTGCGCAAGCCAACATTGATATTAGCCAAAAAGCCGAGATGCCATGCCGAAAACTTTTTATCGACTGAAGTCATACTGTTGTTTAAAACACCAAAAGAAAATGCTACTTTTCTCTCCCGCCTTCTACGAGCGGCTTTGCCACTAACAACGCGGGCTAACCACGGAAAGCGTATACGGCCATACCAGCGATGCTAGGTCTACGGATTTTTCGGTAGATTCGTTAAAGAATCTACCGATACCATGCAGATTTCTACTGAAGAGTAACAAATAAAAGTTCATATGAGTTCAAGACACATTTCAGATGAGAAACATACTGAGAAATCGATTTTTAAAAAGGAATAACTTACTTTCTGTTAGAATTTCCAGCATTGACTTTAAAAATCCTAATAATTTCTTACCCGTTTCTGACGTATATTTAGGTGTTAATGTACAGGAAAGAATTTTAGAATTCGTAATATCAGAAGAGCAACTGAAATTTTTTAAGTTACCTTGTATTCATTGCATCATGTGAAGAATCGAGGCCTGATTGTAGTACCAAAGTAAAGGTTGAATAAAATTGAATAAAACAATTTTGCACCTCGTGTTTCAAATGTCGATTTCGCAAAAACTGGAGCAGCTAGAACGCTAATTTTTTGTTGATTTTAAAGAGGAAAACCTACTCTATGAACGATAAGAATTTAAGATTTTAGCCGAAGTTGGGGAAATTGTGGGGATTTTTCCTCAGTCATTCCACGTGCGACATATGCAAACGAAATAAACGCATATTTGAAAGATTCTTATTAAACTGTCAGTAAATTATGCCTTACTACTAATATGCGCGTTATGACCTTTCAATTTTAAAATTTATGAATATAGGTGATCATTCTTACCAATTGATATGTGTTCAGTCAGCGAAGACGGCTTCGGTATCTCTGAGAATGCATGCAAATTTAAAGTTAATAATCAATATTGGTCGACTAATGGTCGATCATTAACAAACCATTAAATTCATATTATTTTTAAAATTTGCGTTTATTATTGCATTTCGTAGCAGAACATTCGAATACTTACTGAAAACTTGTATTGTCCCATCAGTTTCCCCAAGAGAGTTTTTCGCAACGCACTTATAGTTCCCATAATCTGGCTGTGCTACATTGTCTATGTTCAACTGCATGTGCGTTGAATAAGAAAAGCTCTTCATGTAGGAGTCATATTTTACATCTGTAAACGAAAGCCATTGCATCAATTGCCGTATCAGGATTTACCAAGTTGTTTGATTTGAATCACAATTCAAAGCCGCCTCCATTTTTAACATTTTCTTTGATTCATATATTGATCACCCGTATACACGCGCTAATCGTGGAAACATGGTTGCGCTTCGGAGACCGAATCAAGATTCGAGGATACCAGCTAGAGCGCCCCGATAGGCACGGTAGTAGAGGTGGAGTTGCCATAGCAGTAAATACAACAATACCATACAGGAGACTGCCATACAGATAGTCAGTAATAGAGAACGTTGGCGTAGAGTTTCCTGATGGTTTGTCGATTTACTGTGGATACTCTACTGCTCGACACTTACAGGCCACAGATGTGGATCCATTTTACTCAAACACCATGACGCTTGCCATCCATACTTTAATAACCCTGGACATGAAAACGTAGCTGGCACGTTTCTTACCAACTACGTTCGCGATAATGGCCTACTTGTTATGCCCACAAATTCTCCAACTCACTATCGAAGCAATGGAAGGAATCCATCCTTTCTTGATTTTGGAATTGCCAAAATTGCCACCAATCTCACGGAGATGGTGGTAGTAAACGCCTCAGCAGTGACCATTTACCCGTTTACCTTGAAATCAAAGATATAAAGCGCACAAATGCTAACGACTTTCGATACTCATATGAAAATTTCGATTTTCGCGAATATCAAAAGATACTACAAAACCAGACGTGTATTTCGGGCCAAATCGATACTGTCGAAGCTTTAGAGCTGGCAGTAAAAGGTCTGACCAGAAATATACAACGGACACAACAAGCTTTAGCCAGAAAAGTGCCCAATAAGCCTCAGCGTGACAAACTTCCTGAGAAAATTTTGGACCTTGTTAAGGCGAAAAATCGAATCAGGAAGCGTTGGAAACGATTTCGGCAGCCTGCCGATCGCATAATGACAGCTAAGCTTGCACAAGACATTCAAAGCGAAATTTCCGCTTACCGGAATTAACAGGAAAAATTGCGAAACTTAACACCCCGTGACAATTCTTTGGGGAAACTGTCGAGAAGCCTCCGAAAAGGCTATGAGCACGTCCCCGCTCTTGGAAAAATAGGGGAGGAGTTACATTTCCACCAGTGACAAGTGTGAGCTTTTTGCAGACTTTTCAGAGGTGCACAAAGTCCAACCATCCCCTTAAGATAACGAGATAGAAATACCGACCGCTGTTTATAAAACGGAAGTATCCTATCCCCCCTCGATTTTGCACTCCTATCTTACAACCCCGTCGGAAATACAATCGTGTCTTCGGCGTCTCCCTAGCCGAAAAGCCCCTGGGCCAGACGGCATCCCATATCTACTCCTCAAAAACTTGCCGCGGAAAACTATTGTACGAATAGTACAAATAGTCAACGCAATCCTGAAACTACAGCATTTCTCACAGGACTGGAAAAGCGCTGTAATAATTTCACATTTAAAGCCGGGCAAAAACCCAGCTGATCCTGCCTCTTATAGGCCGATTTCCCTGTTAAACACCCTCGGCAAATTAACTGAGAAGGTTATTCTTTTAAGGTTGCAAGCGGCAGCCGAACTTAGAAGTTTAATCCCGGACGAGCAGTTTGGCTTTCGGCCCAAATATAACACAACGCTGCAGACTGCAAGGACCGTAACAGATGTCTACGCAGCATTTAACAAGCTTCAAAGTACGGCCCTGCTGCTCCTCGATATGGAAAGGCCTTCGACACAGTTTGGCATGCCGGCCTACTGTACAAGTTGTTTGCCGTTTACTCACTCCCACTATACTTAGTTTCCCTTATTGCGTCTTACCTTGAAAACCGCTGAATCCAGGTGAAGGTGGAGAATTCTACCTCGACCAAAAGACGCATTACTGCAGGCGTGCCGCAAGGTACTGTTCTATCGCCACAATTGTACACTCTGTACACAGCGGATATCCCGATGCTCTATACTACAAAAACGGCACTCTACGCTGACGATATCGCACTTTACACGTCGTCTTTTTATGCTCAGGCACCGAAATTTCTCATTGCACACCACCTGAGTTTGATGACGACGTACGGAAATTGAAAGTGAATCCCAGGAAGACAGAACTTATTGTCTTCTCGTCTCTCTTCAAAATACCCCCATTATGCCAGTAAGAGGTGAAATACCTGGGATTCAGACTAGACGCCCGACTTCGCTTCAAATTCGGTACAAAAGACAGCCATGGCTCGAAGAAAGTTATACTCTCTTTTGGCGCCAGACTCTTTCCTATCACCTCAAAATAAGCTTCTGCTCTATACTTCCACAATCAGGCCCATACTGACATACGGCTCCCCTATCTGGAATTCTGTCAGTGATTTCACGAGACGGCGTCTTCAAAGGACCCAAAATAGGTTCCTGAGAGGCGTCCTATCGGCTGACAGATGCACCAAAAACACCGAACTGCACGAAGCTACAGGGGTGCCCTATATAGCTGACTATATAGATAACATCTCTGCGAAATTTTACCATAGTGGAGTGCAAGGCTCAGTCCTAACACGAAATCTTACCCAAATTAGAGCAAATGATCGCCCAACTCACGGCCCCGTGTATAAGCGACTGCCCATGTTTCATGAGGCTTTTATCCCATAACAAAACGTGACAACAAACCTACATTGTCTGCATATAGCAGGCTGGAAATGCACATATCCAACATGACGTGACTGACTGAAACCTAGCTCTTTTGTTTTGGTCGGTGCAAGGTCTTCTGGCAAGACTTGCTCCGATTGGAGCGAAGGGCGTGGCCTAGGTCATAAAATCGTTTACTGCCTGCGGCAAACGCCACGGCTGATAGTATCAATTTAAAGGTCGAAGCAAAAGGGATTTTTGGCTTCCCTTCAGAAAGACCTTTGTTTCCCTAATGAATGCCTTTCCAGTGAAAGAAAAGTCGCCATTTAAAGATCTCCTCACGTTTTCGTGTGATTGCGGATCCGCGAATGTCCTTCGGTACTGGACCACTTTCCGCCCATTTAAACCATAGACAGAGAAGCAACTGGCCGACCATCTGGCCATGCACTAACAGGGGCTTGCTCCTGTCATTTGTTGTTATTGTTGTTAATATATTAATGTCTGTATATAATGTAAATATTAATAAATGTTTTATCTATATATCTATCTTCCGTCCGATCACCGAAGTTAAACAACGTCGGGCGCGGTTAGTACTTGGATGGGTTACCGCTTGGGAACACCGCGTGCCGTTGTCTTTTTGCTTCTCAATCTCTGTTCCATTTAGTTTTTTTTCCAGTGGAAAGTGTTATTGTATTTTCACGAAGAGCACATCGACAGGATCCAAACCTAGTGAGTTGCTAAACTTTTGGTCGCAAGATCGCAAGAATCATGAGAACGGTGCATTTCTGATCTGTGCAATACTGAACGAATAAAACCCGCGTTTGAGCAGTTAACTTTGGGCAACGACCATACCACGTTGAATAATACCGGTTCCCGTCCTATCAGAGTCAACCCTTGGCAGGCAGGTAGAACGGTCGCATCCTGTGTGTCAGCCAAATTTTGCGAAGCGCTGGGCTTGTAATACATGCCGGGTATGTATATTGGTAGCGACAATTGTCGTAGTTTTGAAATTGAAGTTAAGCATCTATGAATGATAAAATCTTATATAAGGATAATTTGGACTGGACTAAAAGACTGAGGAGATATTTTTATATCCTACCTAAACTATTTAAGATGGTACAAAGCATATACCACACCAATAAATTGTGTTCCCGGAGAACAACACGTTGGAGGCACACAAAACCGGAAAATAAAAAAACATCTTTGTAAAAAGTACAATGTTTTGAATAAAAAACCTGACCTACTACTCAAACACCTCCACTACACACGTTATTGTATTGTAACGGAAATGGCCTGGGGTACTCACGTTTGGAATGGGAGGATCAAAATTCATGGTCTTCCAGTAAATGGGAGCCCCATTTACAGCAGGGGATCTTGCACCTGGGCTGGAGATTTTGAGAACCGTCGGGGTTACCTGTAGGAGACCATGATACTAAAACTAACAAAATAAGCCCACGCGTCGATTGTGTTCTATCTCTCTCATCGATATGACGTCACCGAGTGACAAAAACGGCCGAGTGGCTGAGGCTGTGAAGTACCTATATGCATTCGTAAATACTAGATACGTTCGCACGTGCTAACGTGCAATAACAAACTTAATTAAATAACCGTGTTTTACAATGGAGCATAGTGCAATGGTGGGATGTTCAAGTAATAACAACCGAAAAAGCAAGAACCCTTCGGAGTGCCGGTTTTTTCCTTTCCCAAGAATAAGCACGTTTGCGAAGCTTGGGTTCACAGATGCTATCAGAAATTTAAATTTAATGTTAAAACGGCCAGAATATGTTCCAAGCACTATACGGTTGATGATTATTGTCTCAAGGAAAAACATTTGAATCTACCCGAGTCTAAATGGAAGCTAAAACCGGATGCAGTACCTTCAACAATCAATAATGATCGATACAACCCCACAACAAAGATCCGAGAATGTCTAGGGTCACTTAAAGACATAAGATCCCTCGCAACTGCAGGAATCTACCGGATTCCATGCTCCTGTAGAAGCGTCTACATAGGAAGTACTAAGAGATCGGTTGCGACAAGAATAAAAGAACTCCGACGGAATTGTAAACTGGGACATGTGGAAAAGTAGGCAGTGGCGGAAGACGCCCTCAGCGATAGAACACACAACATCTATTTCGGAGAGGCACACGGAGAGACAATGGCGCTAAACAGGATATGGTTTCCAGCACTCACCAACGCAAAAAAAGCCAGAAAAAGCAACAGCTCACAACAGGAGGGAGAATCCATTACACCGGAGGATGTATTCACGTCATCACAAACCACGTTATTGCAACCAGTGCATAAATACGGACTGCGCCCGAGGAATCCCATCAGAACAGTGTAAGCGTCTAAGCAAACCTCTGCTGAATATGTGTGCTTGCGAAACGTCAAGAAGAAATTATACCGA